GTAGGAAAGGCCCAATTAATTCCTCTAGTGTATGATAGTACCCAGACCGGAACGCAATAAATTCCTAATGATAATTGTGATGACGTATTCTGGGGAGATCATTTTCTTGTTTGTCATTCAGTTAATTCTGGCCAGAAATAAACCTTCTCTTTGTTGGCTGGTTCTCTTCCTCTTGAGAACAAGATTGATAAGATTTTAGAGATTAGAAGCTAAGTAAGATATTCTTGGAAATTCCACTGGAACAGAAGGCTTTAAAATCTCTTTCTGTTGAAATCCAAGGCTCATTTCTTGTTCTAAGGCATCCTGCATCCGAAGTAAGATGGCTTGGAACCATGTCTCGACTTCCTCCCTTGTTAGCTGTGTGGTCTGGGACAGTTTATTCATCCTTCTTATTCCCAGTTTTCCTCTTCATAAGTTTGGAAAAGTATTTATGTAAATACCGTATGACAGGTCTATGTGAATGATTTCCTCCACAGGGATATTATAAAGATGATGTGAAGTAAAGATTGTAATTGTGCTTAGAAACTGTTGTACAGAATATACACATAATATTCTATTTAACATGGGAGGGAGATGAACTTCCAAGTTTTGTACACACAGTAGCTCTAGTAGACTACATTGTATGGCTGCCATTGGCACACTCTGAAAGAGCTTCAAGTCCCAACTTCCCTCAACACTCTTTGCTGCTCTTGGCACCTGCCCACACCCCTCCCTTGGTGGAGCAGAAGGGGAGCTGCGTGGTTTGGGAGAGAAGCTGAGTAGGGGTAAAGAGTCATGCCAGGCAAAACTACGAAGCTGCATATCTCAGATGAGGGTGACAGTTCACTGGTTCAGCCTCTGACGGCTAGAACTCTCAATGGAAACCATCAGGGCTGAAGCCAACAGACTACACAGCTCGTTCTGAAGCTTGGCTCCAGCTGATATCATAGCAGATTCCTACCCTATCGCCAAGAAGAAGCACCCTTGTGAAAGCCTACTCCCGAGTGGAAAGAGGAGGGGGATGTGTTAGGTGAGAATATGAGCACCAGTGTGTTCATGTACAGGTCGCAGTGCACCACTCCCACCTCCAGTGCCACCAGGGGAGCATGGGTCAGTGCAGGTACTTCCTGACTGGCCTCACTGCTTCTGCCTGTGTTGCCTACCATCTGTCCTCAAGACAGCAGCCTTTAGAATATGGGTCAGGTCATGACACTCCTCTGCTGGGAATGCTGCCATGGCTCTCCATTCCCTTCAGAGCAAATACCCAGATCCTAATGG